CACATACAGTGAACTTGGTTGCGCGATTGTTCCATCATCAACAACCCTCCTATCAGCTGCAGTATGCATGCCCGTGCATACATTTTTACTTCATCATCAGAGGCGTCCTCGCTCAACTCCCGAAAATTGGCATATAACCAATTTAACGGTATTCGACCACCGTTAAAATTTTGCGGGACACATCCTAGATAATTCCGGCACAAAGTAATCCAGTCACCGTGCGCCATCCCTGATATCACATCTCCATCCACCGGAAGCCCCAAGTGCATAGAAACATCCTCAAGCGTAATCGTGCACTCTCCGCACAGAAGATGGAATGTGTGGGTCTCCGACCTCCATCACTCCACTAAGGCAGAAATAAGGTCTGGTTCTATCTTACAATGGCCTTCATATCTACCTATGTGACCGAATCTAGCCTCTATTAAATATGACCAGACACAGGTAGGTATCGCTAACTTAAGGTCCGTAATAAAAGGATCTAATATACGGTCGCTCTCCTAAAATATAAATAATTACAAAAATTAATTTATAAACTAATAATCATGCATTAAATAAATAATTAATTATTACTAATAATTTAAATTAAATTAAAATGTTAAAATGTTATCGTATCAGCAAAATGTTGAGATATATAATTTCCATCCAAACGAAGTAGACCGCCTTCCATTTTATATATGCAAAAAAATAAATTAAATAAAATATTATAAAATTTAAATAATTAAATAAATTACTAACAAAATACTAAATATAATAAAATATACCTTAAAGAGCTATAAGAAAATATAAGAGTATTTGAGAGAAGTTGAGAGGATTTGGTGTGATGAAAGTGATCGAGAATGGAGGTTTTTATAGGGAGGGAATGAGGTGTGAACGGGAGAGGGTAGGTGGGTAATAAAGCAAAGGCGCGGCCTCGAGGGCGCGCCTTACTGACGCGAGTCAGAATTAAAGCAAAGGCGCGAGCCCTGCACCGCGCTATACCCTACGTGGCATAAGGCGCGCCCTAGAGGCCGCGCTTTAGCCAACGTGTATCCATGTCAGCATAAGTCGCGCTTCAGGGGGCGCACTTTACCTCACGTGGCGTCAAATCAACGTAAAACGCACTGTAGGGGTGCGCCTTACTGCAAAGGGTGTTAGATATAGAAATATAGTCTAAACAGTGCCTGACAGGGAAAAAACATTTAAAGGGTGATTATCAGGAAAATCGCCAAATAGAATCCACTAAATCTTTAATAAATACTAAAAAAAAAATTTGTGGTCACTGGAAACTTTTCAGTCCCCATTTTTTCCAGTGATTTTACAAAAATATCACCTTGACAAGTAATAATTACTTGTCAGACACTATTTCTCCTAATTTTATCAATCTAGCATCTTTTTTTACTTTCGCAGGGTTTTGTCCAAACTAGCGTCACTTAAGGGAAGGCGCAGATCATCATCCGCACCTTAGCTGAAACTCTGACATATTCTGACAAGGCCTTGAAAAAAAATAAAACTATAGGGATTAAAATCATAATTTAATACATATTAGTTTCATGAGTTGAAGAGCTTAATGAGGTTAGCTTATATAGGCATACTGGAGTGTTTAGGTTATGTTTCTTGACAATGTGAGATAAAAGCTAAAAGGTGTATTTCTTGACGATGTGTTTAGGTTATGTTTTCATGAGTTGTCTTCGATCGTTCTCATTACATTTTTATTTCAATTATATACATATAAATATAATAAGAAGTTGATAAATTATTTTTTGTTAAAGTTACCTTAAATCAACCTAAAAAATAAAAGTGAAAAAAATAAAAAAGCAACCTCAGCTTCTGGCAACCTCAGCTTCTGGACCCCATTAATAGCATTCTTAACCTTGGGTATGATCTCTTTCTTAAAGAAAACAAAGTTTGCTTTGTTTCATGTTTTGGGGTTATCTGTGTTAGTTGTATTTTTGTGAAAAGGAAATGTCTCCTCGCCTATTAAGAGTTGGGTTGATTCTAATTTAGAGGCATTTAACATTTAAAAAGAAATTAGGCCTTGCCCATTTTTGCCTTGTGTGCTAGAAGATTCATTTGAATATTTATATTTTTAATGTAGGATTGATAGTAACCAAGTGCTATATTTTATAATGTATTTCAAGTGCTAGTTTGTAGACTTAAATATGTTATTTTTCTGTCTTTAGCCCTTACTGAAGTATTAGAATGTGAACTTCCTTTTACGGATTAAGTATTTACATGCTTGAATATTATATGTACCTTGCAATGCAATATCCTTTTTTGGGGGAAAAATTGAGAAAAGGGAGCTAACCGTCTAACTTAAGGCAACTGGCAGGATTTGCATGAACATAAAAAAATGTCCTGAAATGCTATATTAATTTGTATAACAGTTTGTAAAGAAAAGAAGACTACAAACTGCTGGATTCTTCCATCCAGAAGAAAAAGGATTTAATTTTTTATTGAAAATGACTAAATGAAAGATGCTAATGGTGACTTCTACTGATATTCAGTAGCATTTATGCCACTATTAATTTCTATTTCTATATTTTTCAATTTACATACTACAGAAATCCTGTTTACCTCTTTCAATTGTTAAGGTCGACTTTTGAGTGTTATTTCATATATTATCTATTTGAAAGTATCAAATCTTTTTAGCTAATACAGAGATGGTAATAGGGAGAGCAGGTGTAGATCTTTGTTCATGTTAGCATGAAAACATCTTGATGATAATTTGTTCATGTTTTACATTTGAAAGAAGAGATCATACCCCAATTGTTTTTTCACTTTTATTTTTTGGGTTGATTTAAGGTAACTTAAAAATTGAACAAATAATAATTTATCAACTTCTTATTATATTTATATGTATATAATTGAAAAAAATTGTAATGAAAACGATATAAGGCAACTCATCGAAACATAACCTAAACATATTTTCAAGAAATACACATTTGAACTTTTATCCCACATTGTCAAGAAACATAACATAAACACTTCAATATGCCTATATAAGCTAACCCCATTAAGTTTTTCAACTCATGAAACTAATATATCTTAAATTATGATATTAGTCCCAATAGTTTTATTTTTTTAATTTTTTAAAAAATATTTTTTTAAAATTCTAAGGCATGGATGATGATTTGAGCCTTCCCTTATGTGGTGTCAGCTCGGACAAAAGGTGTGGATGGTGATCTGTGCCTTGTCAAAAATTAGGAGAAAAAGTGTTTGACATGTAATTATTATTGTCAGGTTGATATTTCGGTAAAATCGCCCATTTTCCACCATGTTTAACATTCCCTAAGAGAATATTCATCCCAATCATGAATGAATTATAGGGGACAAAGGATCCCTATCTAAATCTTTTTGCCCATATATGTACCCCATAAGGCCACCATTTAGGACATAGGAAATTTAAAATGAGTGAACATTCTGAAATCCAATGTATAAACCGATCAAGAAAGCCAAACACTCTTGAAACTTGGAGAATAAGATTCCAGTTCAAAGAATAAACTACCTTCCTCAAGTTCACCTTTATTTTTAATCGAGATGTTGTCACCAAAGTCTTCATCCCATTGATGTTTTTTAAAAAAAAAAAACTTGAAAACCGTCTTTGGATATAAAATAACGCCCCTGATTAGTCAATAGTTTAGGACTAAAATTGTTAATTCTAATCTTTTTTATTGTCACTATTGATAATTTTCGGTCACCATCTTTATCGCAGAACGATCACCCATCTATCGTTACCCACCTTCTGACTGATCACTACCTTTATTGTCACCTTAAACCTGGTAATTTTTCAAATTCTTAAACTTCAAATCTTAAATCACTGAAATCTCAAATATTCAATCTCTAAACCCTAATCAATAATAATCTCAAAGAGTCCTGTAAAATGATAAATTCAATGTCGTGACTCGTGGGGGTGAGGTTGTTGTGGGTTTGAGGTTATGCTAAGCAGTAAATTTTCGTGCTTGCTTGCTTACTTTCATGCAGGATTGATGATGCAAAGGTTTATTGTTTCGGCCGGTCCGCATCTTTAGGGTTTTAACTGATCCTCGACATTGGAGTTTCGACCAGTTGATTGATGGCAAGCGTCTACGGTAAGAATTAAAATAAAAAAATTTAAGAATTTAAGTTTTTCCTGAAACTTTAGAAAAAATTAAATTTTTTTAATAAATATAATTTTAATTTTTTTTAAAATTTTTTTTAAAAAAATTATAAGCGCAACATATCTGACAATAATTTTTTTATGGCCTTAACGAAATAATACAGTTAAAAATATAACAAATAAACAAAAATTACTTTAAGCACTGAAATAATAAAAGAGTATAATTTATTCATATTTTTTCATCAACAGTTACCTTGGTATATTAAAAAGTAGTGATAAAATTTTCCTGTATTTTGGAAACCGACAGCCTGCAGGTTGTACAACTGCATGGGGACGAAGGTGACTGTCCCGATGGCTCTTTGGCGAGTAGTGTTAAGGAGCTCCTTGTAAGACAATGGGATGCTCCTGTTAAACATGCGCACAAGGGAAATAATGCAGCTGCTGATTGCTTGGAGAAGTTGGGTTCTTGTGCAGGCCACGATTTACCAAGGTATATAACACGAAATACGCAGGTAAAAAGGTTGTGATTTGATTTTGAGGAGTTTACCTCAGCTAGTAAAATCAATGGCAGATCCCCAAAAAAGATGCAGAATCCAAGTATAGTAACTATAAACGTTGCAAATGCCAAGATTTTCTCCTATTATTTCAAGAAATGAAGAAAGTGCAAAGAAACAAGAAAGAAGCAGAATCCAAATCTATAGCATACCTATACACATGCACGCACTATATAAGAGAGATTATATTTAATGGCTAAGCAGAATTAGCCACATTAATCTCTAAACCGGTAGCATAGGAAAATAAACCAGAGATAGAGCTGCATAGGAGATTATATTCCTCGACATTTTAATATGCCATCAGCTCCCTTTTGCTACCATCTGATCAAAACTAGCAGGCGAAGCACAATGAGTATGAGCAATTTCTTCTCTTTCAGATATCAGCATTTGGAATGAGGATTCAAGGAATATCATGGTGATACCTCACAAGTCCTACTGGTCTGAAAGATTTTGAAGTTTTTTTTTTACCTTTTATGGCATATTCAAGTGCTGACAATGAAGTAGAGCGAACAGGTCTGAATAGTAGACACAGATCATTCTAATTATCTGAATAAGATACATAAATGGCACACAATGGAATCATTTTCTTCGTACATCCAAATGAGAACTTCCGATATCTTCATTTTCCCAGTACTTGCATGACGTTTCACTATGGTCGGAAAAATTGAATGCCAAATATAAATTGCAACCCCTTGACCATTTTTCACCAAGAAATTTGAACCAAGGATAATGCATACTCGCAATCCCAAGGAGGTAATTATCCTAAACAAGCTTCTTGTACAAACTGAGGATTCTAAATAGTTTTCCTCCAACAACTTTCCAAATTGTTTGCTTCCTTATTTTTGCATCTTCGATATCTAGTGTCCTATATGCAAGGGCAAGCAAATACATAGCTGGATGGAGTCTCCTGGAACAGTTTAATAACAAAGTAAGATACTTCAAAACTTAATTCAGAGAATGAACTTACTATATAGTTTCGTATCAAAGCAACAACCGGGCTGTTTTATCATCAGGATCTCGAGGAAGATTTGGGATGAAGACTCGTGTATACTAGCACAAACAGAACCAGCCTTGATCATGCTGGCATCTTCATTAAATTGAGATTTGAGAACGGAAAATCAAGGTTGAGACAGTTTCTACTGGTTTATGATCAGTACAGCAAAAGAACTGGCTGACAATATTAAAGGATAAAGAAATGATAAAGAGATTAACAAAAGAAATGATACCCTAATCTTCTACAGATTTGAAAATTCATTTTGGACAGATACAGTTAAAATTAATTTTGCAAGCAATTTAGGCCACTGCTGGATTTTGAAGTTCTTGTATAATTCAAAATACTACAGCTTCATCTAATCAATAAAAAATATTCTGGTCCCATCATAGTTAATAATTAGACCATCCAGTTATTTAGTTCATTTTTTTCACGTATAAGCCTGAGGGAAGTGACAAAATAATGTGTGTGCACAGCGTACTTACACATCAAATTGTTCAGTTGCATCAACCCCATCCCAGTATCTTTGGGATGGGACTGTCCTGCCTTTCTTATCTCGGCCAAAGGTTTCAATGTACCAACCACCAATGTCATGCATTCCACAACGAGGTTCAAATAACCAAAATCTGTTGCCAAATGACAAAATATTATAATCTAACCAGACTTTAGAGTTTGCACATCTAATCAACATGCGTGCCTCAAAACCTGAAAATGCATTTGTAATTCACAAAAATGGAGCTTTCAAAACAACAAAAAGTAGAAGTATCACGTAACAAGATCAAACCTCAGACCTAAATAGAAAACAAAGTGATAGCTCAACCTAGATCCCTAATAAAGCTACAATGGGAAAATGAATTGCAGCTGAAAGTTAGATAGAATTAGACAGATTTGAAAATAAAATGAAATGAAATATTCGAGAAATAATAGAAGACCAGCCTTAAAAGTCAACCACATATTAAGATGGTTTTGTAAGGGGCATAGGAAGCATGATGACACAAGTTGGAGTTCATTTTTTTTCAAATATGTTGCAGAATCACATAATCTCCCTCGATATAAACACATCTACTACAGATCACCGACCTTAACCTCTTTAGTAAAACACAATCAAAAAGAAAGATACAGATAAGATAAGATAAAGAGAAGAGAAAATCGCCTCAGTGACCAAAAAAAAGTTATAATATACGATTTTAACCAACTTTTTTTGGATTTGCCAAAATGACCAACAAAATCGCAACGCGAAATAAAAATCGCAACGCGATCCCCAGAATCGCAAATCAGTTTCCAGAATCGCAAATCAGTTTCCAAAATCGCAACGCGATTCTTGAAAATCGCGATGCGATAGTACAAATTCGCATTGCGATTTTCCAAAAATCGCAACGCGAATATGAAAATCGCAACGCGAACACATAAATCGCAACGCGTATCCGTAAATCGCAACGTGTATCCGTAAATCGCAACGCGTATGGGTAAATCGCAATGCGTATCCGTATATCGCAACGCGTATCCGTAAATCGCAACGATAATACATAAAATCGCAACGCGTATCCGTAAATCGCAACGCGATATTTAAAGCGCCATTATAATCGCTACGCGTATTTTATTTTCAAATTACAAAAAGAATATTAAGACAAAATCCCGTAATCGCAACTCATAACCTAAAACCTAAAATCACAACTCAGTCCCATCTCCATCTCTCACTCTCTACGGCGAAGAAATCCGTCCCCATCTCCGAAGATTTCCGTCCCCATCTCCGGCGAAATCCCTCACAACCATTCACGGTCAGAAATCCCTCACAATATTCAGAAATGGAAATCAACCTCCGAGGGTTAGTTTTTTTAATTATTTTTATTTTGAAATGTTTGCATTATTGTAGGTTTCTCATATTGAAACTGATGATAAGTTTACTGGTCATTTCAATAATAGATTAACCATTTCACTTAGATTTCATTTCGCGTTACGATTCTGTCGTTGCGATTTTCATTTCGCGTTGCTATTCTCTCGTTGCGATTTTCAAGTTAGTATTTGTCTTTGTCTTTGTTCTGTCTTTTGGTTGAAGTAATGCAATCCATTCAAGTTTCAATTTGCAGAAGAGTCGCAACGAGATAAATGAAAATCGCAACGAGAGATGACTGTCGCAACGAGAGAATCGCAACGCGAAATGGAAATCGCAACGAGAGAATCGCAACGCGAAACCAAAATCGCATTGCGATTTTCATTTCGCGTTGCGATTCTCTCGTTGCGATTTTCATTTCGCGTTGCGATTCTCTCGTTGCGATTGTCATCTCGCGTTGCGATTCTCTCGTTGCGATTTTCATTTCAACCAAAAGACAAAACAGTGTTGCAAATTTTAGTTTCAAGAATAAACTACTACTTTTTATGTTTATTGTTTTTGGTATATCTTCACAGTGTAGTTTTTGGTATATCTAACTTGGTATGTTTATTGTTTTTGTAGAAATTTTTTTCGGCTCAATTGACCTTGAGAAATAAAGTCAGCCTGGCCACTACAATTGCAAAGAAGCTTTCACCTGCTCAAAGACAATTGTTTGAGGAAACCTGCTTCGGGCCATGGCTGAGAGTACAGCATCCGGGTGGAGATGCTAATTTGACCCATTTGTGGCTTCAGACCATGACATCAAATCTACCCGACAGTATACAACGTGGTGAGGAAGAGATATGGTTTCATTTTCCACCAGCGTATACTTGCTTTGGGCGGAAGGAGTTCTGCTTAATCACTGGTCTACGATTCGGACACGATGATGTAGGCCGGTACACTCGTCATATCGCCCGCCCATCATGGTTATCCCGGGTTTTTCCGGATGAGTCAATGGAGAAGCCGAACCTACATGTCGACGACCTGAAGAAATTATTTAATAAGAAAGCTGGTTTCACTCGGATGGAAGACGTCGATGTTGTCCGAGTATGCCTTCTACTACTTGTGTATGCCGGCTTTTTAGGCAGAGAGGCCAGACAACCTATTCATCGGGAGCTAATAATATTGGTAGAGGACCTGAATGCATGGAATGTTTCCGTGGGGTTCGTATATATGGAAAGCTACCTGGACTAAGTTGTCGTCTGCCTTTGATGACCGCAAAAGTTTGCGGGGCGATGGGTCCAAATACACTTTGTCAGGCTTTGTTTGGGCCTTTAAGGTAAGAATTTCTATATAATGTTTCTAAAATTATAATTAATTATTTAACAATTACTAATTTTGTTATTATATTGTTTGTAGATTTGGATATTCGAGGCTTTCCCCAGCATGCGTACATATGCAATAAAAACGTCAAATGATATTCCCAGGGCTATTTCCTGGAAGAGGAAAACTCTGTTGGATTGGGAAGACTTAATACCATATGCCACAATAAATAATGTAAGTTAACACAAATACTTTCATATAATATATAAACAAGTTATTAATAGTAGACGTTTAACTTTGTTTGAGTTTTTATATTTTAGGAGGCCAACATTCCATTACAAAGACTGTCACCCACGGAGGAAGAGCTTGCCACTGATTGGTGGCAAGCTAGTCAGAGTTTTTTGATGGCACGGATGATGAGCAGCATCCACTTCCTCCAATTCGAGAGCCATCACCTCACCTAGAGCCATCACCCGATCGTGACGACTATACACCTCTAGAACGAGAGCCATCACCTATCCCGTCACATCATCGAGCCTCTTCTCCACCATCACCTCATGATAGGCGACCGGCAAAGATGCCACGACTCCTATCTCCCTGTTCTCCACCTCCACCTCAACGGGATGAGTCAAGGGAGTTACGTGATGAGGTCAATGCCTTGCGTGAGGAGATCGGTACTCTACGCGATAACGATGGTGCATGGCGTGTGGAGGTGTCAACTTTACGTGGTGAGGTTGCCGCTCTACGTGAGATGATAGTATCGTTGCAGAATGAGGTTCATACTCTACGCAACGAGGTAAGTTTAAGATTTTCCATATTTAACTTAATGATAAATTTACTCGTAATTTCACTTAGATTAGCCATTTCACTTAGATTGCTTAGTAAATTTATTCGGTTGCTGCCAATTCTGCTAAACTGTGTATTCTTTAACACTGTGAAATAGTATTTGTCTTGTTTTGTCTTTTGGTTGAAAGTAAATTTGTTCGGTTGCTGCCAATTCTGCTAAACTGTGTATTCTTTAACACTGTGAAATATATTTGTCTTTGTTTTGTCTTTTGGTTGAAAGTAAATTTGTTCGGTTGCTGCCAATTCTGCTAAACTGTGTATTCTTTAACACTGTGAAATAGTATTTGTCTTTGTTTTGTCTTTTGGTTGAAAGTAAATTTGTTCGGTTGCTGCCAATTCTGCTAAACTGTGTATTCTTTAACACTGTGAAATAGTATTTGTCTTTGTTTTGTCTTTTGGTTGAAAGTAAATTTATCCATTCAAGTTTCAATTTGCAGAAGAATTTATAGTTTACTTTCGCAACACGAAACTTAAAATCGCAACGCGAAACCAAAATCGCAACGCGAAATGAAAATCGCAACGACAGAATCGCAACGCGAAACCAAAATCGCAACGACAAGATCGCAACGCGAAACCAAAATCGCATTGCGATTTTCATTTCGCGTTGCGATTCTTTCGTTGCGATTTTCATTTCGCGTTGCGATTCTGTCGTTGCGATTTTCATTTCGCGTTGCGATTTTGGTTTCGCGTTGCGATTTTAAGTTTCGTGTTGCGAAAGTAAACTATTCTTCTTCTGCAAATTGAAACTTGAATGGATTGCATTACTTCAACCAATAGACAAATCAAAGACAAATACTAACTTCAGGGTATTAGTTTGAAACATATTTTTCTTTGTTATCTGATGCATTTTGTGAACTATGATAGAATAATGACTTGGGTGAATACAATGCAGTTTGAAACATATTTGTCTTTGTTTTCACTGTTTAAATATCATGTCTGTTTATTTACTGATTTTGTATTTAATTATTTAGCGGCCCGATAGAGTGGATGCTTTACGTCGGGTTATGCTTGCACGACGGAGTTCACGCATCAGACAGCGTGCACGTGCTATTAAGTCTCCGTACACCCCAATAGTGCGAAGACACCGCAAGAAGAAGCCCGACTCGCCTGTCATCCCTCAAGAGTCCACTCCTATCGTTGAAGAGGCCCCCATATCATTCCTCGAGAGTCCCCTCCCACCGTTCAAGAGGCAACTGTCATCGTTGAAGAGGTCCCTCCCACCATTCCAGAGCCCGATTCACATGGGGTAATATATCGAAGTATTGAGAAACCCCCACCGGTTCCGGACATGATGGATGAGAGTTGGCTCTCGTATGAGTTACCGGCCAGTACCATACCGGTATCTGAAGAGGAGAGGGAACAACTACGGACACAATTTTGGATAACACCCTTTGGGCTAAGACCGCAGTTGATTTTTATCTACATGAGCGGAGCAAGGGGTGTTTCACTGACATATGCAAGCTCACCGATGATATCTTTTGTTGCTTGAACGGCCTTGGTGGGGCGTATTATTAGGGGTCGAAGACAATGGCTATTTCGATGGGGGGTAAGTCTTATATTTTCTTATATTTCAATTTGATTAATTTTTTTTTTAAATTTATGTAAGTCACTAATATATGTCTTTTTTGTAAAACAGCATATCGATGC